CAAGATGTGGACCATGCCCCTGAGCTCGGTTCGGTTCGTTCCCAGAGAGGTACCCTTACCTGTGGTCCGTGTGGCATCCATGTTTGCCCCCAAACAAGAGGAGAAACCAGCAGAGATGGCTGATGAAAGTAAAATGACAGATAGTATTGTGGAGAAGGTAAATGCCAGTTGGTTATTTCTATAAAATTGGAATGAATACACATATATAAAATTGCAGACTACTGTTAGGAAACCAATTTGTGTCTGCAGGAGAGGGAGGATGTTCCAATGGATATGACCAATGGGGAGCCAGGGTGTCAGTACTATGAGCAGCTCTGCTACAACAACCTGTGGCTCAAAGTGGGAGACTGTGTCTACATTGGTTCTCATGGACTAGTGCGCCACCGAGTGGGCAGGTAGAGTTAGTGCTTGTATATGTTTCCCAGTACTTACAGTGTATTAGAATGGTTGAGTATGCCCTGTAGTGGATGAAAGCAGGTAGTTTAAATTTGACAAAATTTGATAATTTTTTTATAAGCATTTTTCAATGAAATGCATACAATGCATGCAAAACACCTCCTTCCCATCTATCATGAACACAGGAACTTTTTGATGTTGTCTGGTTGGAAATTATGGAATACAGGGAGCTTGGAGCAATGGCATGATAGTGTTGCAAGTATATTTAGAGGTTATCTAATTTCCAGTGTATCTAATTCAGCTTATGTTTTAAATATATTGTACAGGATTGAGAAAATGTGGATGCGAGATGGAGCAGGCTACTTCTTTGGTCCCATTTTCATCCATCCAGAAGAAACAGAACATGAGCCCACTAAGATGTTCTACAAGAAGGAGGTGTTCCTTAGCAACCTGGAGGAGTCTTGTCCCATGACCTGCATCATAGGTACCCTCCTTACAGTATATGGTTGAAATAGATAGCAGAAAGTGATATATCACTACTATTTTATGTGTTTGTACTTCATTGAGATCCTTAGTTCCATTCACTGAATCAGTTTTTAATTTCACAGGAAAGTGTGTGGTCTCGTCCTTCAAAGACTACCTGTCATGCCGGCCAACTGAAGTACCTGAAGAGAATGTGCTGCTCTGCGAGAGCCGCTACATCGAGAGTGAGAAGCAGATGAAGAAGTTCAAGGGGCTTAAGCGCTTTTCACTTTCTGGGAAGGTGGTGGAGGATGAAATATACTATTTTAGGTGAACAACATGTACATTAAATGCTTATGTATTATTGGCAGGTGGAAAGGAATGACAAGCAACTTTGTTAAAGGACTGTTATACACTTGTCCTAAACAAAACCCAAACATGGAAGGGTATAAATCCTGGCTGTTCCTTTCTGCTTCGAGATCATCTATGCCTATCTTCCAGTATAATGGAAGAAGAATGCAAAATATGGCAGCCAGTTTTTCCTGAATGATTTATTTGGAAAAAATGGGATAAAATGCACAGTATATTTTGCTGATTGTCTTATACAGAAAGCTCATAGTGCCCCAGAAGGAGCCATCACCTCTGTTGGACAGGAAAATTGAGGAACTGGAGGCTAAGTTTGCTGACATGACAGATGAGGAGCTAGAGGATCTTGGGGATGATGATGGCGAGCTAGGGGACCAGTCTCTTCCTCAGATGCAATCTTCTATGTCCAGTGACATGGATATCATGCCTTACACTCCTCCACAGGTCAGGGGGGAAGCCTTTCATTACCAATGTAGAATTCTGACTTAAACTAACAGGTCAGGATGTAAATAGGAACATTTTCTAAATGGCTCCTGTGTTTGTTTGCAGTCCACACCAAAATCTATTAAAGGTCTGTCAAAGAAGGAAGGCTCAAAGCGGAAGATCAACATGAGTGGCTACATCCTGTTCAGCAGTGAGATGCGAGCCGTCATCAAAGCCCAGCACCCAGACTTCTCCTTCGGGGAGCTGAGCCGCCTCGTTGGAACAGAGTGGAGGAATCTGGAGAGTTCCAGGAAAGCAGAGTATGAAGGTGAGAAGAACTTTTATTCCAATTTAATAGACAAAACTGATCAGATTTAGTAATGATCCGGTGGTTTGTAAATAGTACAAAGTTTAGATATTATATTTGTCTTTATTGTGTTGCAGAGCGAGCAGCTAAAGTGGCCGAGCAGCAGGAGCGTGACAGAGCCCATCATCAGACGTCCCCTAGAGCAGGTACCCCAGTAGGGGCACTGATGGGGGTGGTGCCTCCCCCAACCCCCATGGGGATGCTAAATCCCAGCATGACGCCTGTGTCAGGTAACCCCTCATAGATGCAGATGGATTCCCAGTGTACACCAGAAGGCTGGAATAAGAAGCTGAACCTATAGATTTATCCACCTTTTTTAAATTTCCTAATCACCAGCATGTCTGCATGTTCATAATGTGCAGCTTTGTGATACAATTTCATGTTGTCTAACGTTTCACTTAATTGATAAGTCCAAACATTGATAGTTGTACATTACTGTTTATTCCTCAATCCTCACATCGTAATAGACTCCACATAATATCAATATTTGAATGCATTCCATTAGGGAAAGGTTGCTGCGCACCATTTGGGGATTGATACTAAAAAAATGAATGAGTGCTTGAGAGTAGTGCATGTGCATCAAATTGTCTTGATTGTGCATTTTTCATCTGTGTGGTCTTTATTCCCATTCATGTCCATCATAATTATGTGGTGATTAAATGAAAGCATAAACAGTATATTAACATATGAATGCATGCTTGGTAGTGAAGTAGTTGATGCATGTTTGACTGATGCATGTTGCTGTTTTGTGTTACTACTGTCCCTTCCTAAGAAGGAATGATGGGTGCATATAGGTCAACTATGATGCCCCTGCAGGGCCATGTTGAAGGCATGGTTAGTATGACTGGCATACCACTACATCACATGGGGGTGCCTGTTTTTCCCCAACATCTCCTGCCTGTTATGCCTGGGTTCCCTGGAATGCCATTCTTTGGTAAGAGTGCCATCATAGCCACCCCACCTGCCACGCAGTTGCTTCCTGTCTACCAATCTGACTTACTGGAGGGGATACCTGCACCAATAGGCTGAGGTCCTTAAGCTGATCACTACTCAGTTGAGAGCATATAGCCTCAACTGGGGTTTGGTTATTTGTCCTGGTCATTACCAGTAGGCCTGTTGGTAATGTATCACTGAGAGAAATTCAGTGTTTCCATTGAGCCAAAAAAAAAAAAACTAAACCTGATATTTAAATTAATATATTCATAATTGGCATTCCTAACTGTTCTAATGTAGATTAATGACATTGGATCATTTTAGTATTGAATTTTGAATGTAGTGTTTGTAATCTAAACCAGTATCAAGAGGCCTCCTACACTTTCTGACAGTGTCTTGATGTGAAATATCACAACAGGTGTCAATGGCATGGGAGGTGGACCTGGAGTAGGAAACATTCATGGATCCCAGGTAATCTATTAGACTCTCTAAACTAATCATTGAAAATTCTATGCAAGATCAAAGTTTTGGTACAAGTTGCTGTGTTGATGCAGATTAATGTGTTCAGAGAAGGTTATGAGACTCCTGGCTAACATCAAGAAATTGATTAGAAGTTAATTTGTGGTTACTTCAGGCTATTCTAAAACATTTTCAGAAATGAGAGTGAAAATCCAGTTCCATTTTTTCTGTCTTTTTCTAGTATTTCAGTACATGCTGATGATGCAAACCTGGTGCTTATAGCCCTAATCCACAGACCGTGTACAACCACTATATGACGCTTGTGATGTTTGGACACACACAACAGTTCCAGATTGGGGCTTTAAATAAATCAAGTTATTGATGAAGTTTAAATGCAGTGTAAATTCTATTCCGGATCAGAGAAATAATAGAGTTCTTATAATAATGTCATTAGATGGGTTTGATGGGCCCAGGGCAGCAAGCTCCACCACCATATCCAGGACAAGGCCAGATGGGACAACCTGCACTCCAGCAGCCAACCACCCCAGTGTTTGTGTCTCCGCCGGCCAAGTCTCAGCGGCTGCTCCACTCTGAGGCATACCTCAGATACATCGAGGGCCTTACTGCAGAATCCTCTACTATTAGCAAGTGGGACCAAGCCCTTTCAGGTCAAGACACATGCATTGAACTATTCTTTTTTTTAAACACTTAATTAAAGCCTTAAAAAGAACATCAATATCCATTTCACTTGATTGACTTCCTTAAATAACTATGATTTTAATGTTTATCTTATTTGTACACTTTCAGTTCAAAAACAAGATGTGCGCCTGACAAAAGAGCAAGAGAGCAGACTGCCATCCCATTGGCTGAAGAGTAAGGGGGCCCACAAGACAATGGCAGATGCACTTTGGCGACTCCGTGACCTGATGCTGCGAGACACCCTAAACATCCGTCAGACGCACAACCTGTAGCATGCCAATATTCTGAGCCTCTGTTCCCAAACCTGTGAGACAGGAAAAGGGTTACGCTCACTAAAAATGTTCAATTTGTGTTGTCATTTAAAAATGTGTTTGTATTCATATCAGCTGCTTTCTGTGTTGAAGCTGTTTTTTGTTTTACATTTCAGATATACTGTTCTAAGTACATTATTGTTAAGACTGTCATTCTGTGATGAATGCCTTCATGCTTTCACGATTAAAATGTGAACAGTTCAATTTGGGTGTATTCATTTATTTACAAGGATCTACTGTATGCACATGTTTGAGATGCATCACTTGAACTGTAATATAATAGCTGTCACTTGTGAAGAACCATCACGTGTCTTTAAGAGTCTTCCAGACGTCTTAAGTGAAAGTAGAAAATACATTTCTACTGTCCATATGTAGCCTTCATATAGTGAACACAATTATTTATCTATTTGTACCATTTAAATATTAAATACATGCCTTGCGCTGCTGCACTTGACAGAGGCAAAGATCCTCTCTACTGTCTCTAATAGAGGATAGAGGCCAAGCAAGGGGTGTGTCTTAGAGCTTTCGCATGACATCTGCGCTTGCGCAGTATACTGACCGCGCAGTTCCTTTTGCTCCAGACATTTGAAAGCTGGCACGGCGAGCAAGTCTGTTCGGTCCGTAGTGCCTCCCCATCCCGTTCTGACAGAAATTTACTGCAACGGTAAGACGCCCCATTACTTTAACAGTCAACATATCGAGTAATGCGAGATTCAAACTTGTAGACCGGATCATAGTCCAATATCCTGCGAGTAAACGCGCAGTGTTCGGGAATTAACGAACTTTGTGGTTAGCACTGAACACATTAGCAAGCTAGTGCTAACATTAGCAGGCTGACTTGGAGGAAACCGGCTACTGGATCAGACTATTCACTGGAACTGGGTTATTGCTTTCCATGCTGCTTTAGATAGTATTGTACGTTGTGTAAGTTGGGACAAAGGAGCAATAGACATATTCCGTTATATATAACTTAAACTTTATATGCGGACCAGTTTATGTGATATCCCGACCACCATGTGCTTATATTTGAACTTGCAGAAGACTAGACAACCTTTAGCCTGCTAGCTTAGACATAAGGCTGCATAAACCGATCTGGAGTCAGCGGGGCCATCGGAGCTGATGCCAGATTGTAGCCAGCTAGCTAGGTTAGCTGCTAGCAGGCTAACGTAACGGTGGGCTGATTGCATGAATGGCTCAAACTAGCAGAGGAGCTGTAAACTTGGTATCAAGAATAGCTTTGACTTGTTAGAGAGATCAGTGAATATTTAGGAGCTTTTAATCACAATGTTGGGATGGGATGTTCTAATGATTAAACTTAGCACACTGGAAACTCTTAAGCAATGTGATCTTGCTGGAACCAATACACACGTTTTAATAACGCATTGCTAAAATTTGTGTACAGGATTACTCAGCATTTAGTTAAAGTCCAATCATATGTAGAAAGTCAGTCAGCCTCTTGGGCAAATTGCTGCCCTTTCACTCTCTGGTTTTCTCACCCCCAGTTACGAGCATGGAACTGAATGATGCTAACCTACAAACCCTCACGGAGTATCTCAGGAAAACACTGGATCCAGACCCAACAGTCAGACGTCCAGGTAATACAGTTTACAGACATACCATTGCCTGTACTAATGCAGTTCAGATGGAATGTTGTTCTCATCGACCTATTTATGTTAAACATTCATTTGATTGTGTAATCTCTGCTCTGTAACACCTGTTCTCCGTGTATCCCTTTTCTTTATTAGCTGAAAAGTTTCTTGAATCTGTTGAGGGAAACCAGAACTACCCTTTATTATTACTCACTTTGCTGGAGAAGTCCCAAGACAACGTGATTCGCGTCTGTGCTGCTGTTACATTCAAGAACTACATCAAAAGAAACTGGCGCATTGTGAGTCTCACTAAGTAACATAAAGTTTACATGTTTATCATTCTGTTCATACCAATCCAATATCTTGTTTGTAGATAAAGTTTGTCTAGATTGTGACAAGTCCAGTAGAAATAAAGTACAGTTCATATCTGCTGTTATGGCTTACATCAGATTTCACATTGTCTTTTGTATTTGCTACTTTATGACAAACTGTGAACAGGGAGGACAAACTACTTGTTGATAATCTGCCGTGTAGATAAACCCTACTATAGTGGCAGTTACAAGGTTTTTCATCAGTGGGTCAGTTGTTTTGCATAGGCACAGCAGCAGTACAGTCCATCAGCTGGTCCCTTAGAGGACGCTTTTGCATTCACACTACACAACATACACACCATTGTAAACATTTGTACAATCTACTGCTGTTAAAGCCCCGTTTCAAGAAGGTTGAGTTCAGTTTTCAGCGTTGCTTCACTGCAGTGATATTTTGTTAGGACTGTTGATTGTGATGATGCAGTAGATTGCATCATACAGTCAAGTGTACTGGAAAGTTTGTCCCACCTACTGTATATAACTAACTGTATATAAACAGTATAAACTGCACTGACTCCATATCCTATGTTTGTGTTCTGTTTTCCCAAAGGTTGAAGATGAACCAAACAAAATCTCTGATGCAGACCGAACAGCGATCAAAGCAAACATCGTAAATTTGATGCTAAGCAGTCCGGAACAGATTCAAAAACAGGTACGTCCTCGCATGTCACAGTGCCTTAAAGGGTCTAACTTGAAGGTGTGAAGGAAGATGCTCAACCAAGCCCCTGTTTATGCTACGTATCTCCCCAGTTGAGTGATGCCATCAGTATCATAGGAAGGGAAGATTTCCCTCAAAAATGGCCAGACCTGCTAACCGAGATGGTGACCCGCTTCAGAAGTGGAGACTTCCACATCATCAATGGAGTGCTTCGCACTGCGCATTCCCTCTTCAAGAGGTAGAGGTCACTCTTAGGGTTTTAAAAATGTTCTTAAAATCAACTTTGCACAGGAAATTTCAAACATTTTCTACCTTTTTCTGCTTTTCAAGGTATCGCCATGAGTTCAAATCAAATGAGCTTTGGTCGGAGATAAAACTAGTACTGGACACATTTGCTCTGCCTCTGACAGAGCTGTTCAAGGTTTGCAATGACTATCAGTGCAATTACAACAACAACACTTACAAGTAAACCAGTTGTTATAGCAATATATTTGTTTGATTTAGCCAATATTGAAATGTTTGACATAGTTATGATAATGTTTTGATATGAGGAACTATTTATAGTTAATTTTCTCTCTTCTTTTCTGTAGGCCACAATTGAGTTGTGTCAGACTCATGCTACAGATGTCAATGCCTTGAAGGTCCTCTTCTCCTCGCTCACTCTCATCTCAAAACTTTTCTACAGTCTTAACTTCCAGGTCAGTTCAGTTTGGTTTTTACTTGAATGACTTTGCTATTTTGGACAAATCTCTTTGATACCTATTGGATTAATTATTTTCTGTAGTAATTCATTTCAATTTTTGTACACTACATATTTACTTATGGCTGTACTCTGGATTATTACACAGGACCTTCCAGAGTTTTTTGAAGACAACATGGAAACCTGGATGACCAATTTCCATGGCCTCCTGACTTTGGATAATAAACTTTTACAAACAGATGTGAGTTGTATCTTTTCTGCTCATGGAGTTCATTTTTAAAACTGCTGTACTTTCAAGTGATTCTTAACATTTCTTTGTGTCTCTGTCCTGACAACTCTTCAGGATGAGGAGGAAGCAGGTCTCCTGGAGTTGCTGAAGTCTCAGATCTGCGACAATGCTGCTCTTTACGCTCAGAAGTACGATGAAGAATTTCAGCCGTACCTTCCCCGCTTCGTCACTGCTATCTGGAACCTTCTAGTTTCTACTGGCCAGGAAGTCAAATATGATCTGGTGAGATCACTCATCCCTGACTGTATTTCTGTAGTTGCTGCTGATCTATTTTGAAATTCACTTTTCCTGTACTCACAATAAACCTTTTCTTTGTTGCAGCTTGTAAGTAATGCTATCCAGTTCTTGGCTTCGGTCTGTGAGAGGCCACACTACAAGCATCTATTTGAGGACCAGAATACACTCACTAGCATTTGCGAGAAGGTCATTGTGCCCAACATGGAGTTCAGAAGTAAGGAAATGCTTTGTTCTCTGAGTCATCAGATTGCACCTAGAAAATGTTTTCAGCAGAAGACTGAATCAGGGCTCTGCTTACATGGACACTAACATGTAAATATGTACTGTGATACTTATGAGACTGTCTGTAATGCCCAATCAGGTGCAGATGAGGAGGCCTTTGAAGATAACTCTGAGGAATACATCCGCAGGGACCTTGAAGGATCCGGTAAAGATCGCAGATTCTAATGGAAATAATTCTTATGATAAGATGACAGACTATTATCAACACATGATGTATGTGATTTCTCTTCAGATGAAGTGTTTGACTGTTGTTAAGAATACCAGAAAGATGTCCATCCTGTCATATAAAATGAGTCAAAGTCAAAGTAAATTAGAATGTTAGCATCCAATATTTCAATTGAAGTTTTCTGCATACAGCCTGACAAATGATGGACAGTTAACCAAACCATGCTAAGGATAACCTTTATCTCATTCTTTCTCAGACATTGACACTCGTCGTAGGGCGGCATGTGATTTGGTGAGAGGCCTTTGTAAGTTTTTCGAGGGCCCAGTCACGGCAATCTTCTCCGGCTATGTGAACTCGATGCTGGCAGAGTATGCAAAGAACCCCGGGCAGAACTGGAAACACAAAGATGCTGCCATCTATTTGGTCACATCACTGGCATCAAAAGCCCAGACACAGAAGGTACAGTTGAGCTAAACATTTCGAGGGTTATTGTAACTGGTAATACAGTGTAAATTCATTATCTGTGTTTGATATATATATATATATATATATATATATATATATAAAATTTTATTTTTATTTTTTTTTTAATACATATGTTGTCCTTTTTTCCCCCTCTAGCATGGAATAACACAAGCCAATGAGTTGGTGAATCTGACTGAATTCTTTGTCAATCACATTCTCCCAGACTTAAAATCCCTCAATGGTAAGAATACTCTTAAAGGCCTCAATCTGCTGAACAGTTGCTAAATATCTCGTGTTTAAACATTGGCTAACTGTTTACTTTGACTGTTTTATTTTTAGCTAGTAGCTGAGCAGTTGAAATAAATACAAGACATTCTATTCAACTGACATGGCTTTTAAATGTGTTTTGCAGTTGTGCAGTGGTTTTGCAACTGTTGCGTAATTTGAATGTCCAAACTTTTTTGTGACTACAGAAACTAATATCGATCTCTTCCATTATCACTGTAGTTAATGAATTCCCAGTGCTGAAGGCAGATGCCATCAAGTATGTCATGATCTTCAGAAGCCAGGTGTGAACTCTTGCTTTCTCCACAACCTGTTAAACTAAATTAAAAAGCCTAATGAATGTATTACAGAGTGCCTCTTCTCTGTCCCTCAGCTTCCTAAGGAGCAGCTGCTGCAGGCAGTTCCTCTACTGATAACTCACCTGCAGGCAGAGAGCACAGTGGAGCACACTTACGCTGCCCATGCTTTGGAGAGGCTGTTTACTATGAGAGGCCCAAACAACACCACACTGTGAGTATCAAGCAATACAGTGACGCATATTTATATTGTATATCTTTAACCAAATTAATTGTGTGTGTGGAGTGAGTACCAGAGTAATTTGTGATTTATTCTCTTTTGTACCCAAGTCCAGTTGAGAACGAGTTTCTCCATATTTGACAACAATTGTAACTGATTCACATTAGTGATGGTGGGTTGGGAATGACGGTGGATTAAGCAATATTCACTTTTAAAAAAAAATGTAATGGTAAAACTTGGCAAGCTGTGTACATTGTAAGAAAGCCATTTACTAAATATGTAAAATTTGCTAGTATGAATGTAGTAATTACCCCTACCTAGTTTTTGGAATATTGGCTATTTACTTATTTCCCTCCCACTGCATCACAACAGCCCTGTTGGTTTCACAAAAAGTTTTATGGACAACTGAGCTGAAGAAACATGGCAGTATGGAAAGTCTGCTCAGGCTTTTAGATCCATCTGTTTAGCTACCAACCCATTAATTTAGCCAATCACCCTCTGTGTTTTTCAGTATCTCTCCTGCAGAGATGGCACCTTTTACTGAACAGTTGCTCAACTACTTGTTCAAGGCACTGGCGCTTCCTGGTTCTGCAGAAAATGAATACATCATGAAAGGTATACCTGACTTTCTTTGTCTAAATGCTCCCCATTAATGGTCTTCAGTCAGTATGAGACCAACTCCAAAGTTATTTTAAGTAGTCTCATCATGTCTTTGTCTTTATTTCTTCTTTTTTTTTTTCTTTTCCATTTTTAAAGCCATCATGCGCAGCTTCTCCCTCCTGCAGGAGGCCATTGTTCCCTACATTCCCACTCTGATTGGGCAGCTCACTCATAAGCTCCTATTAGTCAGCAAGGTAATCCAGACTTTATTATTGATGGATACAGGTAGATTTTTACCAAGATGCCTGTTTAGAGAATACACGTGTCAACTTTTCTACTGTCTGTCACTTATTTTCAGAATCCCAGCAAGCCTCACTTTAACCACTACCTGTTTGAGTCCCTGTGCCTGTCTGTCCGCATCACCTGCAAGGCCAACCCCACTACTGTCAGCAGCTTCGAGGAGGCTCTCTTCCCAGTCTTCACTGAAATCCTTCAGAATGATGTGCAGGGTGTGTCATTTACCCATGAAATCGATTTGTCTTTGTTTAGAAGACATTTTGATAAACAAAAGCTGGTAGCTGATCAAAGGCAACTAAACTCCTCTCCCCCGTGTCCTCTGTTACAGAGTTTCTTCCATACGTGTTCCAGGTGATGTCTCTCCTCTTAGAGATCCACTCCAACTCTATTCCCGCTTCCTACATGGCTTTATTCCCTCACCTGCTGCAGCCTGTGCTTTGGGAGCGGACAGGAAACATTCCTCCTCTGGTGCGCCTGCTTCAGGCGTACCTGGAGAAGGGCGGTGCCACTATTGCCAGCTCTGCTGCAGATAAAATAGTAAGTGATGGCACTGTTGTGCACAGCAGAGAATATTGCAATGTTCTACTTGTCTGCAGCTGACGACATTGATTGTATCTTTACATACTTACATTATATATGCATACATTTCATACTTAACATAAATGGATTATCCATTTTATTCACTGTAACAAGTATATTCATGCTGCGATCTGATTTCTTTTCCTCAGCCTGGCTTGCTTGGAGTTTTCCAAAAGCTCATTGCCTCTAAGGCCAATGACCACCAAGGTTTTTACCTTCTCAACAGCATCATCGAGCACATGCCTCCGTAAGTTGATTATAGTTTGATCAGTAATGAAATGTAGCACCTGGTGAAATTGATTGGGTTATATTGTGACATGTTTTGTTGACTTGTTTTACTTTTTCTTTTGCCAGAGAATCAATCACTCAGTACAGGAAACAGATCTTCATCTTGCTCTTCCAGAGGCTACAAAGCTCCAAAACCACCAAGTTCATCAAGAGTCAGTACCATCATCTCACTGTTCTGCTTAGACCTATTAATCTGTTGATCAGTCTGTGACCGAGCACTTGCTTTAAGTTGTTAAAACTGACTGCAAGGGTGTGATATCAGCCATTATAGTGTCAAGTGTTCAGATTTTCACTGGCGTCCCTCTTCCTCACAGGTTTCTTGGTGTTTGTCAACTTGTATTGTGTCAAATACGGAGCTATTGCACTTCAGGAGATTTTTGACAGCATCCAGCCGAAGTAAGTGTATTTTCAATATAAAACACAACGCACACTGATGTCTGACTGCAGTTATTTAGTGGGTTCATCCATCAGTGCAGCATGTAGGCAGTGGGAACATGGGAAGTTATATTCACCTTAGCGGTCAAATGATTCATAAGCTGGCTGTCCCTCTGAATTTGTTTGGCCCTCTCGAGCTATTGAAACCCGCCTTGCTCACTGTGAAGAAGCACCATTTTCTAGGAACAGGACATATTTTGAAGGAATATTGCAGCCAAAACTTTGATCATCAAACCCTCGTTAAATCTTGAAAGATGGCCCCTAAAATAATGAAGCTGTAGTCAGCTTGGATTCACAGCTGTTAAAATGGATTTGCATCTTTCCATCCTGATGATGACCTGGAACCACACTTGACACCCATTTATTAGTTCCTGATATAATTGCGTTTGCAGGTCTCCAGTGTGTTTTTATGTTTGTAGAAGACCAGTGGCAAAATGTATTAATCCTGTTTCATTTCATTTATTTATTTATTTGAAAAGGACAGTGCACATTAATTAACCTTTCTGTAAATGTGCCAGTGTTAGCCAACAGGCTAATTTTCAACTGCAGTCCTCTGGCAGGATGTCTAAAAACCACATATTGACCAGATGTTCATCACTCAGATTAATAATTGCTTCTTGTTTTGCAGAATGTTTGGTATGGTGTTGGAGAAAATAGTTGTTCCAGAGGTTCAGAAGGTGTCTGGAGCAGTTGAGAAGAAGATCTGTGCTGTTGGCATTACAAAAGTCCTTACTGAGTGTCCTGCAATGATGGACACGGAGTATACTAAAATCTGGTAAGGAAGCTGCTCAATGAAAACACAGCATTGCCTTTCTATCCTTCATGGTCGATTGATTCAAGCTCCTACACACTGCCTGTGCAGTGTGCAGGACCTTTAATATCAGATCAAGCATGTTTCATGTCGGCACTGTTTTCAGATTGATTTACAATTTTTAATAGAAATCTGTTCTTAAGGTTGAATTCATGAAAGCTAGGGCAGGGAAGCTTGGTCATCTTTTTGTATCACTATAATTTTGAATATGTATTTTCTTTAGTTTAGTATACATATACTGTAGTTGAATGTTAAAGTTAGCTTAGTCCTGATTAAAATTAATTAATAGTCATCTGTGTTTTCATGTGTCTGTTAAGGACCCCACTGCTCCAGGCCCTCATTGGTCTTTTTGAGTTGCCGGAAGATGACAGCATCCCAGATGATGAGCACTTCATCGACATTGAGGACACACCAGGCTACCAGACAGCATTCTCACAGCTGGCCTTTGCTGGGAAGAAGGAGCATGACCCGATCGGAGACGCCGTCGGCAACCCCAAGATCCTGCTGGCACAATCACTCCACAAGCTTTCTACTGCCTTTCCAGGAAGGGTATGTTTAGCCATGCAGGAAATGTTCTTCAGAGCTAATCTGTGGTGATTTAAACAAGTCGTAATGACTTGGTTTAGATTTGTCTTGAATAAAAGACCTGTTAAGTTGCATGTGCAGATGATTGGGTGCTGCAGAAAGCAAATCAGTTATTGTTTCTTCTTGTCTCCCTTTATTTTGGTGCAGGTTCCTTCAATGCTGAGCACCAGTCTGAATGCAGAAGCCCTCCAGTTCTTGCAGGGTTACTTACAGGCAGCCAGTGTGCAGTTGGTTTGAAATGGATGTGATGCTGTTCACATAATGAGACCGCAATACACTGCAGGAGTAGCCACAGCGGCCTCGGGGTCACATGACAGACCTGCTTCAGCTGAACTTGAGTCTTTACAGATTTGGTGTGACTTGACAGTTATGTGATGGATTTTGACAGAGGAAATAATCATTTTGCCTGAATTTAGGGTGTGTTCTCTGATGGAAGTTTTTTTAAGGGTTTTTAAAGACATGACCAAAAGTTGACATAACTGAATTACTGTTTTGTGTTTGGGCCTTTTGTGTGCTGTGTAGCAAAGGCTAACAAGGATTCTCAAGTTCTGATACAATCAGTTTATTTCAACAACAACAACAACAGCAACAACAACAACAACAGCAGCATCAGCAGAGATATATTTCAACAGTATTGGGGAACGCTGAACCTTTGATCCATATGGGAAGGATTTCTTTTGCGCTTTTTTGTTGGTATGTTTGAATTCCTTTTTACAGTTATGGAGACTAGTCTGTGGCTCAAGCATAATGCTTAATATTTTTCTGTTGCATGTTTCCTGTAGATTTGTTTATGTCTAGTCTCTGTTTCTGCACTGTTTGTTTCTGTGAATAAAAAGAGGCACTTGTATAGATCTGCTACTATTGCAGTCTCTTCGGTATTTCTGTTGTATTTTTAGTTTATCTTGGTTTGTGAATCTTACTGGCCTCCAGTGTAGAGGTTAATAACGGCATTTTTACTTTCCTTCATGGCCAGTTCTGGTTATTTATAACGAGAAATAACCTGTCATTCTACAATATTGCTGTGAATGAAGTTACCATGGTGTGAATAAGTATAGATAGTGGGCTCTCCCTTCAGATAACAAATTCATGTATTAAGAATATACAGTATGAGCCTTTGGTGTCTGTGTCAGTCCATTATTTAACAAGGTTATAAGACAGTCAGAAAAGTGTTAGGAGGATTTGATATGACCGTTGGAGGTCTTCATTTCAACATTCTTGATGAAGGGTAGCATGCATTTGTCGCCTCCCATGAAGCGATATGTTGCCACGTTTGCCTCCCACGGTAGCAGTCTAGAGATCAAAAGCAAAAGTCCCGCATTAATTTTCACCTCGGTTCTAACAGTTTATACTGCACGTGTTTCACAAATGCCCTGATTGATACTTACGCTCGTGTGAGGAAGGGGATGTACATAATGCGAGGAATGCAGATCATTTGCTGTTCGGCTAAAATGGCTTTCATGGACTGCTGCACGGTGTAGAGCGGCTGCAGAGGTGGAATTAGACTCCTGAGTTCCTTCCTGGAAGATGCCAAAGAGGAAGTGCAGAATATAGCATCCTTTTTTCTTTTTTTTTTTTCTAGTGCTATCAACCAGAAAAGTTGGAATGACAACTGATTGTATCTCACCTGATCTCACAGCCTGCAAACATCCCTGTGTCCACAATATAAGGGCAGACTAAAGTAGTTTTGATGCCATCCAGGTCTTCGGCTCGCAACTCGTGTGTCAGTGACTCATGGAAACCAACAGCTCCAAATTTACTTGCACAGTAATCCTGGGGGTGAAATTGAAACAAGTCAAGTCAGTTAGTGTTATGTGCCTTTTTAAATGGATTGTTCTAGGATGTGTCTGTCCAGTTTGTGCTTTAGGAAGTCATTAACCCTCATGCATTTTACCTCTACACATGCAGTGCTGAATAGTCCGAGAGCACTGGCAATGGTTACAATGTGACCGTGGTTATTTGCTTTCATCTGAGGCAGGAAGGCCTTTGTCATCTGCGGGGAAAAAATGATATTAGTACATTTAACAGAAATGTAAATGATGGTGTGATTAACCCATAAACGTGACAATGGTCATGGTCCCCTGAGTCAAATTCAAAATCAGCCTTGTCCACAGGGCTACGTTGTCCCCCTTTCAAAGTTAATGTGACTTATTCAAGCTGGAGGGTATCTGAAACAATATGACAAATATGCAGCATATAAGCACAGAATAAACTGAGTTGACAGTGGCCTGGTTTATTTACTGTAGATTTTTGTCACATGGGCTGGCTACACATCAGAAATCTAACAATGCAGTAGCAGGCTCCCTCTCCTTAGGTCTCAAACAAACAAAACTAAATAAATTAATTCAAGGTGTCAATCAATCAATCAATCAATCAATTAAACTTTATTTGTATAGCACTTTACACACAGGTTAGTGCAGTTCAAAGTGCTTCACAGATGACTGATAAGCCAAAAAGAAAAGGACAAATCAAGTAAGAAAGCTTACAATGAGATACAATAAAATAGATTTAAAAAGCTATAATAACATTAGAAAACAAAAAAGAGAAAATCAATAATAAAGGAGCAGATAAAATAGAATTAAATATAATAAAAGAATAGGTAAAATAGAATTTGATACAATAAAATACAATTTAGAACTTAATTACAATAGTGAATAAAATAAAGAGACTAATGACTGCCTTGGGCCCTCAAAAGCCCCAGCTTTACTGTTTTGCAATTTGTAACTTTCTTTCAGAAATGCATAGCTCATATTCTGCTATATGCATATACAACAGTGAAATGAATGCTCAGTGCGGGCTATTTGGATTTAAAAGGGGTTATCAGCTCCTCATTCTTGGCCACATTATCTCAGGTTCTGGTGCAACTGGGAGCCCTCTGCCATCAGGTGCATTATAGCGAGGAAGGCACTTTCACAAAAATGGAGAAACCACGCGCCCACTGTATGTCTTACCCTGATATCCTTAATATTTGGTGCTTATGCGCTTATACCCTTTTATTGTAGGAGCATGAGACTGAGGCTTTAAGACGATCAGGTGCAGAATCACATGCTCTCTTTGCTGGTGGGCTCCCTTGGGCTCCTATTCTGTGGATGAGTGATATAAAGCCACCCTCCTCCCCCTCCACTGCCACTTGCAAGGGCATCCCATTCCCTACTGCCATGTGACGCTCCAGCTCTGCTGTGGCACAGGATGCTCTGATCCCATCACACATCAGTGCACAAACTCTGACCGGAGCCAGCGGGGAGGACCACAGTGAATAGATGTTATGTAATTCATGTCAGACTGGTCACATCAGCGCTGTGTGTGGAAGGTGGAGTCTCCCGGTTTTGCACAGGTGTTTGCGCGTAAAAGGTGTGTGCGTCAAGTCTCACCCAAAACAGCGCGTGGCAGTTCACCAGCAGAGTCCTCTCCAACAGCTCGTCTGGACAGTCCAGCAGCCTCCGCCCGGCCACCACGCCTGCGTTGTTGACCAGTATGGAGACCTCCCCGACTTCCGCTCTCACTCTGTCCGCCGCCTCGTAGATGCTCTGACGCTTGGACAGGTCAACTGTGTACGTGTGCACCTCAACTCCAATCTCCCGCGCCAGCTCGGCGGTCTGCTCGTTGGCAGTCGTGTTGCAGTCCCACAGCACCAGGCGCGCTCCCTCTTTGGCGAACTCCAGGGCGAACAGGCGACCCAGCGCGCCCCCGGCTCCTGTTATCAGACAGAGCTCCCCATCAATGCTCTTGAGCCTCGGCCGCAGGAACGTCTGGATGACCGCGGTCAGGATGGAGCAGATCAGGTCGATGAGCATCAGCAGCAGGTCCACTATAAAAATCATGGTGCTCTGGGAAGAAGTTAAAGAGACGCACAAGCAGACCGCCTAGCTTTGCACTGTGAGCCGCTTGTCCGTGTGACGTGGGATTGGATGGCCACTTTATATAACTTGTGTGTGTGGGATTAGGAGGCAGACTGATGGTGGCCACCAATAGAAGAGCTTTTTGTCTGATGACCAGGGAAGCACATTTACAACTCGTTCATAAACAGTGGCTGAGTAAAACTGAGGCAGGGATTAATAAAACACTCAACAACACTGTTTAATATCAGGCTGGGAGACACAGACATGTGCCAGAGCAAATTCCACAAGGTATAGATGTTAAGATGTTGTTTTTAAGCAGTTGCATCTTGTGTGATTACCTGAGCAGGTCACACTATAACTTCACATATTTTTTATTTCACCAATAGTTTGTTATTGATGCCGCTTCACATAAATGCTTGGAACAAACACCTTCCACACAAACATTGTGCAGCCGCCTTCCTCTCAGCAGGCCCACAGTCTGGTTCAGGACTCTCCAAACTCCTATGATTTTCGATGCTTTAGCTTAGAACCCTTTCATGTTAATTCTGAGGCCGGTTCTCCTTGAAGGACAGGTTCACATTGTGTGCAGTGTGATGTTTGATGTCAAAAAGGCCAAAAGCTGACTTTATTTATCTCCGCTAAATGTTCAGTGTCACATAAAGGTGGAGCTAAAATGTGAAGGTGCCAGTTATATTTGAATAAAGGCTTCAGCTTTACTTCTCTTCTTCATGCTTTCCTTCTGTTCTACTTCAGTAAAGCTTAACTTTTACACTCACAATTTGTAAAACATTACATTCTCCTTTCTTCTGAGTATTTTTGAATAAATATTTATGTAAGAAATTATATTTTGATTTAGATCATGCATTTTACAGCTTTTGGTCAGTCAGCTGAGAAGAGGGTTAACTTCTCTTTAAGTTTTTTCCTCTTAAAAACATGTTTGAACTCTTTGTCCTCCTAGAGCTGCCATGAAATGAACAATATTCTCTTATATAAAAATGAAACCATAACTTACTCTGAGCTTCTTTTGACTTTTATGTAAGAGTGTTACCTCTGCCTCAACTGACCACAGTAAACTACCTTTACACAAGTATGGTATTTTTAGTATTTTATCCATGACTGGTCACCTATTACGTATACATTCCTTTCATCTGTTATAGAAAGTTATTCCTGATCCATGATGTGAGGTGGATTAGCCACCTCTGAGTAAAATGTTAAGGTGATAAACTGCTTAGCACGTGTGCACAAATCCCTAATATTTAGCATTCTTCATAAACAGGCAATTTTGGATTATTACTCTTGTTCCTCAGTTGCATTTTACATCTTGTTTTGTTGCTTTAAAACATGTGACAGAAGGTGTGACCCAGGTTTTAGTGGTTTTTTGTTAACGTATTTCCTGCAGAGAGATTCCAAGTCATGGAAGTTAAGAAGGTTTGTATCTTGGGAAAAGCCTGAAGTTGTGACTGGCATTGACTGTGATGTAATCCTCCTCTAAACTGCGGCCATGACGTCATGTAACCTGACAAATGGGAGTCTGTCGGCTGCTTACGGCTGAGTACATTGGACTGAAAATGATTGTATCATTGAATCATTACAACCATTTTCATATGAGGGACCTAAAATAGATAACTGATTACATCTAATAACATTAGATTAAAAAAAAAAAAAAATCTATCGTTAGACACAGGATAAGAAGAAAGGATAATGGCTACAGGTTAAAAAGAAACAGTGGAAACAGTGTCATACTGCACAATCTGTTACGATGTCAAAGTTCAGTGAACTGAAATACATCATTGTAAGTGGTTACCTTTGGTATTTATCCAATAGTTTTTTTACTTAAGAACACAAACACTGGAGGGTGCTGTTGTCTAACGTATGCAGTCTCCGTCCACAACCTTCTGGCTCGGACACAATCTCACCACTTTGCTCTCATGTATTACATCCCTGTTGTTATGTATTGAGTGGTTTTATTAAAAAACACATTTCGGTCGACGAAGTGAAGCTCGTAAAACCAACGCTGGATTATTGTCTTTTATTAAGCATCAGTCAGTAAAATTGCTTCAAAATTGCTCATCATAGACATTTTCCTATAGCTTATTTACAAGTTCAGTGTGTCAAAGTTTTAAATAGCGCTACATGCATTGAACAACAGGAAACCACAAAGATAATATTCTACAAAGTCAACTGGTACAAAGTATGAAACTTTACAAAACAAACATTTCCCCAGACACAGTAAGGGCAGTATACAGACCTGTGCGAGTTGGTTGGACAGAGGTGATTCATTCCCTGAAGAAGGGGGAAGATTCTGAAAATTAAATGATGTGTCTGTATTTGGCTTTAAACCTCTTGTGTGGCATATTGTGCTTAAAGAAAATGGTTACTCGACATTATAACTTGTGCTTTTGGAAATTGTATTTGAACATGTCCTTTTGTATGCTGACATTTATTTGCATGGTCGCTAGACAGCAGAGGATTTAATTCAGAAAAATAAATAAAGTGCAGTTCAGAAGATAAGAAGACAAGATATAAAAAGCAATAAGATAATTAGTAATAAGTTAACATTCATCCAACAGAGAAAATAGTTTTAACCATTTAAATAGACTATGGCTTGTTTTAGAAAATCCACAATAATGAGAGGCTCAATTCCAAAGATTTCTCAGTACTCACTGTATGTCTGACTGATGTGTGATGAATATTAATGAATCTTCACTCTTCACTGTGTAACACCCCCCCCCCCCCCCCTTTTTTTTTTTTTTTAATTTTTATATCTAGCTAGTCTTTTCTGTCTGTTTCTAACGCCTTCAGTAGTGAAAGTCATACGACCATTTGTCATTTTTATTCCATTACCATGCAGCATTAAGGGCTGGGCTGCAACAAAAATCCCACACACCAGTGTTTTGTATACTTTCCTGTAAGCCAGACTCTTCTGTTACAAAGTTTGTTCCTCAGGACTCCACAACACCATCTGACCAAAGACATTACTGTAACTGAGCCTCTCCTGCTTGCCCAGACCCTCCCTTTGCGTGTTCAAGATGATATTTATAGAATCACAGAGATGAACACATCCTCAAAAGGATGTCTCAACCCAACTGCCACTTTTGCATTGTCATTCTGCACAAAAGACTCCAGCACAGGGACACTCCTTGAAATGGAAAAACAAACACATGTGCTGAGCGCCTAATCTGGCTGGGCAACTTCTAATTGACAGGATAGGACGGCAGAGCAGAGCGGGGCTCACAAACAGTGTTTTGAATGGCCATTTGACTGTGAGTTAAAGAGAGTTATTTGGTCTGAAGTTGGACATGAGGTGAGGGAGCAGAGTGCTACAGTCATCATTAGTAATGTCAGTTGCAATCAGGCTGACAGCTCTGCTGCAACGCTCTCTCTGTCACACGCTCCTTCTTCCTATTCCGTTCACATTTCACACTCATCCTCTCCATGGGAGCAAGTGGCTGACGTGAACATGCACAGCACAGCAACAGCACCATAGTTTCACCTGTTAGTTTCTTCTCCATCTTTTGTCATTTGCTGCAACGTGTGCATGTTTCTGTGAGAAAGAGAGGAATGATGACTCAAAGGCCCTAAATCTAGTTTTCTGTTTACATCATTTCTTTAATAATTCAGCCGACTGAAGCCACAGGTGAGGAGGGGATAAAATGAATGAATGTATGAACAGAGTGTAAACCCTGTGAGTATTTGCAATATGTTATTTGAGTCTTTAAGGACTCCATCTCTACAAATTAGGCTACTTGCGTGCATCAAATGTGAGCCATCCAGTCATCTCAACTATCACCATGGAAACAGTGGTCATTCACTCTACTGAGTGAGCCTGCACCTGTTTGTTTTTGTGGAATAGGCCTTTTTCATGTAAATGTTTGTTACATTTAGGTGTAAGTACACAGGAAAGACATTAGAGGAAGGGCTGTGGATGTCTAACATATGAGTCTGACATTACGATGAGCCAGTTCTCTGTATGTTTATTTACTGCACAGTTTGTTTAATTGTCATTCGGGCTCCATTAGACAGGGCACAGCAACAGATACAGTGTGCGGGGCAGCCGTTTGTTAAAAGCAAAGGCACAGAAATATCTAACTCACATTATGTCTAATGATTGCAAACAACCATACAGAGTAAATACTTCTATTATTTTAAGCATAAAGATTCACTACTAAAAATAGATGCTTTGTAGCATGCTTGCATAATATGTCGTAAAGTTAAGAATATTATAAAACCATGCTTGCATGATTAATGTAACAAAGAGCATGAGAGCACCAGATGATCAACACCCAGATTGGTCATATGTTTGGAGTCAGGTGCGAACAGGAAAGCAGGATGCAGGGTATTTGGTTGAACTAAAGTGGCCTGCAGACACACGATGTACCTCCATGCTTTTTGTGTGCCTCAGTGGCGAGCTGTACGTCGCTGCGAAGTGGCTCTATGTTCGTAAGAGATGTCATGTGAACTGATACGAGCATAATGTTTTGGATTTCTGGAAGCGAACCTCTTGCCAAGAACCACAGAGTGTTAATAATCAAATTAGTTTTCGAAATGGATGTAAAATAAAGTGCTGTGTTCCCTCTTCATTGTCCTTCTTCTTCTTCTTTTTTTTTTTCTGATCCTCTGTCAACAGCTTTCTTCTTCAGATGCCAGTCCTGTCATCTGTGCATTCTCCAGCTTACATGTTTGTACTGAATGAGCAAGTATGGCTCCCTGAAATATGTCAGATTCTGCTGTTTAGAAAAGGAATGCTTAAATTTCTAACATTTTGAGATAAAACAGTAAAACTACTATCGTCTGTATGAGTCATCAGAAAGAACAATTCTTTGGTTCTTCACATTGCACAAAGGATAGAGGGACAGACGTTTACAGGGAGACAGTAGCAAACAATACAAATGTATCTACTATAGTATATTGTCTAATAAATGCAAGTCCATCAAAATAATGCAGTACATAATCAAAATGTAAATCTATGAGATTAGCACAATATATTTTGTCT